TATTCTCTAAAGTAGGTAGCCTTGTGAACAAACTGGTAGAGTCAATGATTTTATATGCATCCTGTTGCTCCTGTGTTAACTTCATCTTTTTAGGAAACGGTTTTAGCCTCAAGTATACTTTAACAGTTTGCAAAGCTAGTGGATCTAAATTCACAGAACCATTGTCCTCCATAGAAATATGATCTTCTACTTCATAGACAGACAATAGATTCTTTCTTGAATCCTTTAAAGCACAAGGTCTTTGTCCATAAGATAAAATACTTGGATCTCTTCCAAATAAATATGACATCTCTTCTTCTGGATTAGGATTATAAGATGGTCTAATAGAGTCTAATGTATTATCCATCTAATCATGAAGAAAAAATTTATTGTTTTTATTATCGTGTTGTCAATCTATTAGATCTGCATAAATCTTGAAGCCAGTTTCTTAAAAGCAAAAGTTATTGTCGCAGACCTTATGGATACAATTATTTTGTTATTAGTATCTATTTATTACACTTAATACATTCTTTTAGAACAAAATTACACATGCCTCGTCCGCATCAAGATTTTTGCAGGTACTTCATGTTTCGTACAAGTAACGATTTAACTTTTCTCTATTGTAAAATACTAAAATGTCTTTTCTAATCAATAAAAAACGTAACTTTTAAACAACTAAGAAACAAACTACCAATTTTCAGTAAAGTGTTACTGCGCGATTAAAAAACAAACCTTAATCTTGGATGATAACAGAAGTTAGTAATCTCTTTATAATACATACCTTTTGTTCTCTTTGTAGTAATCACATATAATAAAATAAATGAAAAACTGTTACATATATTACACGAAGTCTTCAAGAATGAATTCAAAATAAAAATACAGGCACATCTCTTCCTTGTAATGCTCACGATTCTTAACAAACGGTTAGTATTTTATTTTGAAATTCTGCCATCAGGATGCTTTACGCGGATTGGTGAAATCGCCAGGAATGTATTATTAACGCGCTTGAAATTTGGCCAATGACAATCAAACCATACCTTCGAAGGCCAATAAGAAAGAAAGAATGAAAGAAAGATTAACTGATTCGGCGAAGCGCCCTCTACTATGTTTGCAACACTTAATGCAAATTATAAGTATATATATGTACATATTATGATACATATAGGTATGCGTATTCGAATTCTTATATCGTGAAATATGCATTATGAGATCAAAATGTAATCAAAAAGATATATAAAGGAATAAAAAGGGAACGTATAATTGTTAACATTACTAAAATGTCCGGAACAATACATGTAGATTTATAGATAAGTGAAAAATACAGATTTTACATAATATTATTTAAAATACATATTTTAAAATAATATAATACTAGAAAGAATGTTTAATTTAGTTTGTGCAGGGTTTGCTGCATTTATTAAAAATAATTAATTTCTCTCAATTAGACATAAAAGGTCTCAATAAATGTTACAATAATATTAGTAAAATAAATCTTTATTACATTCATCATTCGTATCAATATTTACAATTCTCCAATCAACCACATACATACATACAGCAATTAATGCTTCTCTTTTCCACCATTATATTCCCATACGACTAGTATTTATAATTATTCTTGGAATAAAAAATATTTCTTCCATGAGAGTACGTTAAAAAAAAATAATTCAAAATGAGTAATACATTACGTAGATTAATGATGTTCGGAAGAAACGTTGTTACGTAACGTAGATGCGAGTTGTAAAATACTATAAAACGACATACACTATCAGAGAAGGTATTGCGACAAATACATGTAACATTTTGTTATTTTAAGAGTACTAATATGAGTACGTAAGTCTTTATATCTTTGCACCTATGAATAATTTCGCGCACCAGTATTGACTTCTGTATCACTTTTTTTCTGTTACATACAGGACAAGACATGTGGTTCTGAAATATCCATTTTGGAGTATTTAAGCAGAAAATTAAAAAGAACGAATCTGCAAAGAAAGCCAAGTTTCTTTAAAAATACGTCAACGCAGTTATATCCTTACATTTTCATGATTTCTACGTATTTTAGATATTTCATTCGCTATTTTTTTCATTCGTACCATTTCACTTATATTTACCAACAAAGAGAGCGATGCTTGAACATACTTTTAATCTATAGTTTCGCCATTGACATGCTTACGATTGCTGTTTATTTCTAAATGGGGCCACCATTAGCGAGTTTTAATATTTATGGTATAATCGTAATGTCAGGACTCATGATTCAAAATATCTTTCAGGTCATCCGGTAATGTATGCGTGATGTCATTTATTCGTTCTTGGAGCCTTTCTCTTACCGAGTTACCTATAGGTACTTCCTCGATATAAGTCTTTTCTAATTTTTGTCGGATCCTGAGAATCATATCAACTAGTTCTACCTCCTGTTTTCCTTGCACCCATGTCTTTAAATCCTATGACGATTATAATTTCACATAAGAAATAAGGTCACAATCAAGAATGTGTGAAATTTAATAAAATTTTAAATAATCCAGAACATACCGCTTGTGATAGTGCCTCAAGTTGTATAACTTGCAATTTTTGTGACAACTCAGTGTACCTGGTATGAAACCAGCCAGAAAAATTTGGCGAACGAAAAAATCGTCTGTACAATCCTACCCAATCACCTTTAATTCCTGTAGTCAACTGGGGTCCAGCACTACTTAAGGTAGCCAAAAAGTCGTCTGGATTAAACAATTCAGGTATAGGTGTAGCCTAAAACAAGTACGATTCATGTCATATCCCTTCACTCTGAAAACTGTATAATAAATAGGACAGTTACTTTAAAAGGTGATATGTCCTTTTGCAGTGGCATAAGACTTGCAATGTATCGTTCAAGGGGTATCATGAAGCTTTCTGTTAACTCTATCAAATGACGCTTCAGAAGAGCCGTTTGCACTTCACCCGGCCTCTTCGTTTGGATACCTCTGAACAACTTCTTTAATATAGTTTTATCCTTTTGAAGGAATGGCTTATATTGTGTATACACTCCAGGCTTCGAGTCCAACACTTTGAGATTCTCCGACTTTTTTATTTTGTACTTTTGATTTTCTAAAAAAAAAAAACATAGAAAACAAAAACATTATACTTCTATAGTGTTTTACAGAACTTACCATTACTGGTTCCGTTACTTATTCGAATAATGTGAGGCCAATGTTGTAGCGTCTTGGCGAAAAATGGATTGGTTACACCTAATATGACCGCCGGAGGTGATGGAGCATCTGTGGTGTACTCTTTAAACTCAGAATCATGAATCGTAAAATAAGGTCGATAATCGGCACAATATTTTAGTGGCGCTATCATCCTAAAGATAGTTTATTCTGATAATTTTTCTTATTTGATAACCGTTCATGTGAATTATATAAGAATACTTACGCAATCAGTGCTTGTACCATATCAGAGCAACCAGTAGGTGAACCAGCCATAACAACAATTGGTTCACTAAGTAACACTAACTCCCATAGCAGGTGTACATAACTTACGACGCTTGCTAAACTTCTAAACATATCTCCCTCATAGGCAGATGTTAGAAGTAGTCTTCGGGTTGCATGAAAATTTGGCGCATGATCCATGGCAGCAATTGTGGGTGCAGTTGATTTATAGTTTTGATTCGGAATATATGTCTAAAGAATGAAACAAAATTAATGTATGATACAATTGATTAATTAACAATTCTAAAAATATATTAACATTTACCTGAAATAAAACTCCTATAAGTGGTAAATGTACTATTTGACCAGGTACCGGAGATGGCCATTGGTCAATTTCTTTTACAATAACTTCCATGACAGGGCTACCGACTTCAAAAAATTCAGGTGCAATTAAAGCACATAATTCACCAAAGAGATTCACAAATGGCAGTTTTGTAATTATAACAATGCTCTGGAACAAGAATAAAATTACAGTTACAAATATTCCTACTGGTATCGTTGCTACTAGGATCTATGAAGTGAACCTTTTGGAAATATCCTCTTGGAAGGGACTTGTCTTTTACTTGACGGAAGTACACATATCCCCAGTAATAGTCTTTATCGCATTGTAAAAATGGAGGTGACCTCCTGTCGTACTCTTTTAAAGCTTTAGTCTCTTGAACTGTAGCTCCATTCTGTCTTATCCTGACATGATACTGAGTATCTCCCATGCAGCCAGAGTTAGAATCAGGAAAAGCCAGATAACAGACATTAGATTTCTCTTGTTCAGATAACGTGATATGACCAGGATATATAGCCTGTGAAATAGAAGATATATTATTTAAAAGTAGTATCATAGACAATATAAATACTAAACTGTGTACTTTTGCACTTATAGCATGTTTGAATGCAAAATAAATAGGGTCTTTGAATAATGTTTAATCAAGTTATTATTTTATTTTCAACCTATTAAAATCATCAATGAAGAAATTCAGATTATGTTCTTCTCTGGTTTTTGAAAATTAATTTACTACAATGCAGAACTGTGTAAACATATGCAGTCTAAGAATTAAAAAACATCAAATATAATATACCTCTATAGCTTGACCCAATTCAAGATCAAATGTAACAATGCATATACAATGTAGCCAATTGTGTAAACGTTCCCATTTCTCATATATTCTCTCTTCTTTATTATTTACATTATCCATTCTTCTACTTTTTGAACAAGAGGCAACTGACATTTTTATAAGAATTTTCCTTGAATGCAATCACATATACATATAA